TTATTATTCAACATATAATCAATAATGTTGTAAATATTTTTTAGGGGGCCAGATGGACTCATGTCTTGTTAGGGAGACCACTTCATAGTTGGTGTAGAGGGCTGACCACCGCACTGTATATCAAATGATTTTTTCATTGCTTTAAAAATAACACCAAAGTCCTTAAGCCTATAAGGTTTTGCATGACCTGGTCCCTGGCCTACCTTTGCAGATTCTTTTCATATTACCCTCCCCTCAGCAATCTGTGCTCTGCCCCCTTCCTATTTTGCAATGCACACTGCTTGCAGCCAACACAGCCTCTGTACTTGCTAGTCGTTCTGCATGGAATGTTCTTCCCTGACCCCCTTCTTCTAATTAACTCCCACATATCTTTTAGATCGATCTATATGTAAACATTAAAGTCTTTTCTTACCTCTAAGTCTAGGTCAGATTCCTTTGTTAGATGCTGGGTTATCTGTCCTAGACTGTAAATTCCATAGAGGCAGAAGCTATGGATGTTCTTAGTCATGCACATCCCCAGCAGCAGGACAACAATGTAAGTCTATGCAGTGTGCCATGCACAAGAGGGCCACCTCTAAGGGGCACCTTTTAAATCAGAGAGTAGTATATTTACTGCAACAATTTTCTGACAACTTTTGGTAAATTTTCTTGTACTGACAAAATTGGCATATTGTGACAATTTTCTAAAAGCTGGAAATAAACGTGTCTTAAGGGAAGGATGCTTTTTTCTAATTCGCTCATAAACACTGTATGGACTAGCAGCAGCTCTGCCATTACCTACCACAATACCTGGAACACAGGTGCTACTCATTAGCTACTTGTTTAAAAAAGATTGTCTTTGCAAATAGCGAATGATTCTTAACGGACAAAGTGGATTGTTTGCTGGAACCTGCAGAAGTAGTAAGCAAATTGATATCTGATTGATAAATTGATAAGAATACTTGAGAAGACAGCTTATTCCTACACAACACTATGTTTGCACTGAAAGCTGAGATACAGATAAAATTCAGAAATGATTTTTGTTATCTTGAAAGTCAATGACATTTCTCCATTGTGACATTTCTAGATCCATTGTTTATGATGACAGTTTTTTTTCTCAAGGAACTGTGTGAAACAGAATGCAAAAATATTTTTAAAATATATATTTTTAAATATTTTTTAAAAATTAAAATTTTTAAATAAGTGAGGTTAATAGTTTTAAGTCTCCTTCTAAAAATATCAGAAAACAACCTTTTCAAGAAGTTTATGGGATTGCTTTGGTGAAATGTGTTGTTACCACCCACCAAATCTTTGAGTCAATTAGATTAAGTCCTTACCTTAGCCAGTTATTATTAGAGAGGAAGGAAAACTTGACAACATAATGGCAATATTGCCATCTTTATCATAACAGTGTAGTTTAGTGATTACAGGAGCAATCTTCCAGCTGACAGTGTGGAGAGATTATTATTTCTGCACTATATCGTCAGGATTTCATATTTAGTAATAAATTTTTGATAATAAAGCTTTAATTAGGAAAGGTTTAATAAACGAACCTGTGTCGATTGGATTGAGTTACCACAACATGTATTCCTACAGATTTAAAGGGATTAACTAATAGTAAAACAAAAACAAAAAACCAGAAGGTAGGTCTTTTTTATTATCTTTGGTTTGTAAGATGAAAAACAGAAGACTAAGATCCCCAAAAACCTTGACCTGCTTGACCTCCACCTGACTGCATTGATTTGATCAATACCCATAACATAAGAATGGAGGGGTTTTTCATCTGAAATTTGCCTAGACTGCTTACAAGCCAGCAAACTTTCTAGGACTTCTAGTAAGAATACCAGATATTACAAGAATGTTAAGACATCACATCCTTTGTTTTCTTTCCTTTGTGCCATTGCTATAGGCGAAATTCAGATACACACCTCTTATTTTCTTTTCGGTCTTCCCCACTAGATTGAGTTTTATGAAGACATCCATATAAATAAATAAAATACATAGAAATAAAAACCTGGAGTATGTAACATGTAATTTTATATTCTCTTATAGCACAATTATGTACTAAAAATTAGTTAGTTTTAGCCTGGCGTTGGCACTGATTTATTCATCTAGCATTTGCTGAGAATTTACAGCAATGAGGTAGTATTGGGGTTTGAAATGGATATATTATTTTTCCTGCATCAAGGACATCAATTTAGTGGAGGAGACAGATACGTTAACAACTATAGGAAGCCTGGAGTTGCTGGGAGAGTTGCACAGAAAGAGGAGGGTTTTGTGTGGGTTTTTGAAAGACATGAGAAATTTCGTTGTTTATGTCTTCCAGGCAGAGGAAATACTCTACCTATAGGCACATGGTTTTGAAAGCGCCTGGTGTCTTCAGGGAACGCTGAGAAATTCAGTGTGACTAGAACATAGGGTATGTGATGTCAAAGGTAGAGGCACAGATTAGAGTACAAGGAAGAAACATGAAGCCTTGACTGGAAGAGTAGAAGATTATAGACACACTAGGATGGGTTTTAGAAGGCAAATTAAAAAAAATAAATTAGATTCTTTGCTTTAAAGAACAGGCTCTCTATTTTTAAAGGCCCTGCCTTTGGCAGCTTGTGGTTAGATTTAACTGAAGCCAGGCTGGTGGTATGGAAATCCAATAGGAAGTATTGTAATCATCCAAAGGGTAAATAACAGTCTGAACTAAGGCACTGGTAATAGTGCGGTTGGTTTGAGAAACATTTCTAGATTCAAATATTTGTGGAAAAGAGGGAAGCGGGAGAGATCAACAATATTCATTAGATATTGAAACTCTTATTAATCAGGATTGAAAACATAGACTGCCAAACAGATATATAGAGAAGATGATGAATTCAGTTGTAGATACCTGTAAGGTATCTGTAGAAGCTATCAATCATGGATGATACCATATGCGACCTGCAGAATAAATTGGCCCTTCTTAACAATTTTCGCTAAGTTTTGACAACTATTTGACATTTCCTTGTTTCTCCCTGCAGGAATTTAGTTGCAGTATAATAGGGTATTAGATGGTGGTGGTGAATGAAGAGGGTTGGTAGGTAGACACCTGAATTTATCATAATACCCATTTGCTATGAATACTGTGGTCAACTGTATTAATACATTTTCTTGTGCCACTGTTTATTTTGTAGACAATTCATAACTATAATCTTCACTCAATATTATTCACAATAGTATAGCTTAAAGACAGAAAAATATGCAGACATCAGGGTCTCCCCTACATATAAAAATGTAATAACATTCATTTTTATATCGTCCAGGGTCAAATGGACAGGAACAGCCTGGTCCAAAGTCTGATATATAAGTTGTCTTAGACCTTCGTCCACCTCCTCCTTTGACATTGTGCTCTCCTACTTTACACCCTCACTCGGTCTTTCTTCTTTACTCCAGTGCCCTCATACGGTTTCCTGCAGTCAAGGTTTACTCTTGCCATCCCCTCTCTCTTGTGAAGTATCCTAGCTAATACCCGAAATCTTTAGGACCTGCATTGTTCACTGGCTAGCCTGAGAAACAGCACATATTTCACTATTTTCTAAAAAGAATTTCATGCCAGTTATTGAGAAACTTAAGACCAAGTGGAAAATCAAATTAATCAAGAGCCACATCCAATGATGCTATTATAAACTATACCTTCTAAAAATCATACATTAGAATTTTTTTCTCATTGTCTTTGTCTTAATGTTATTTAAATAAGTATGGTATACAATATAATCTGCCTTATTCTTTAATGTGTGTTTTATTTTACTTCAGAGTCTGAATCTACATGGAAACTGCTTGAGCAAATTGAGAGATCTCTCTAAGCTAACAGGACTTCGAAAACTTAATATCAGCTTTAATGAATTTACTTGTTTAGATGATGTATACCATTTGGTAAGAACTTTCCTTTTAAAATTACTTAAGTAAAATAAAATTATTAATTTAAAGGATAAATTATGTCTGTAATTATGACCTCATATATGCCATATTCAAGATTATACAAACCAAATCAGGAACAAAACATGCATACACTATACTATGTTACTTTCTCTAAAATAGGCCTTAGATTTAGATTCCATTTAAAAACCAAATATACACCTGTGGTCATATCTGATTTCTAGCTACTTTAAAATAAATGTATTAAAATTACTCCAGAATTGTTTTTAAAATGTCCTTTGAAAAGTGTCATCTATTTTGTTCTGCTCTTACCACTTCACATCTAATATCAGTTCTTCCCACCTGTTCATATCCATGTTGGTATTTCTTTTTCTCTCTGCCTTGTCCTTTCTATCGGAACATCACACTCATAAATCTTACTTGACTTGTGTTTGCCTTCATATGGATCATAGGACAAATATAAGTTATACACTTATACACATAGGTATGGATCTTGTCTGGCTTGTGCTTTCCTTGTTATATATATTATGTAACAAAAATAGTTATTATAATATATATGTGGACCAGAACTCCAGCCCAGCATCCAGTTTCCACCAGTCCCTGACATGCCTTTTCAGACTAGATCATCTTTCTCAGCTCTTATTCATTCTCTACTCTTACCTCCTTGCAACCAAATCAGAGCTCTTGCATTGCTGCTTCCACCACTGTTGTGGGAGCTGTCACTCTCCTTAGTGGCCTTAGGTTTTGGTATTAACCCCCCTGCCTTATTTCTTTTGGTAAACTAAAGCCATTTTCAATAGAATCCCTGATAATCTGGGTTCAGCATGCAACTGAGAAAAGAAGGTCGTTTAAACAAGGTCCCAGGACTCTATGTAAATTGTTGACAGTTTTTAATTTAATTTTTTTCTAATGATTTGCTAGCACTTCCAAAGGTCTTGACAATTATTATAATTTTGCTTAGGCACAATTTTAGAAAGTAAACTTTTAAGTGGTGCAAGGCACTTAGATTGTGAGTGAGCTTAGCCAGCTGCCCAGCATGTATCTTGCAATGTGGCTTTGTTATTCTTAAATAGAAAAATGTCTTTCATCATCATAGCCTCACAGCCTACTTATTGGATGAATATTACCATGGTCATTTTACAGATAAGTGAACTGGACAAATTTTATGCCTAAGTAGTATTTTCAAATTTTAGGATTAGCAAAGGTGGCTAGATATAGACCTCTCAAACATCAAGTATCTGATGTATAAATGTGTCTCCAAAAATGACTATAAGGATGTTAGAGGTAGCCAGAGAGAGGAGATACTTTACTTGTATACTTTTTTCACCTTTTTTTATAATATAAAACACAGATACAGAAAACTATATACTACAAACATGTAGTTTAGTCAACTATTATAAGGTGAACATGCTTGTAACCAGCACCCAGATCAAGAAATAGAACTTTGCCCCCTACAGCATAAGCCCCCTCTATATGTCCCATTTAAGACATCATTATCCCGAATTCAATAGTAATCTTCTCCCTGCATTTTTCCTCTCAGTTCCATGACCCAAATGTGCATCTATAGCACAATAGTTTGGTTTTGCCTTTTTTTTTAAATGTGCTATATCTTTTAAGTCTCTTAATTCATAGGTTTCCTTTCTATCCCCTTCTACTCTCCATAGTTTATATGAAGAAACATTTGGACCTTCCAACCCAAAGAGTTTCCTACAGTCTGGACCCTGCTAACTTGCTTATATATGATACAAACCTACAAGCCCTCCACATTTTTTGAAAATTGGCCACTGTATCCAGAGATTAGCAACTCAGGTTCCATTTCTCTGGCAAGAATATAGGAGGCACATTATGTCTGGTGAACTCACTTTTCTGATGCCAACAGCCACTATTAATGCCTATATCCATTAACTCATAGGGGATTACAAAAATGGCAATGTTCTTATTGCATCATTTCCTTTTTCATTTATTAGTTGGAATAATCTTACATAGAGACATTTCCCTTATCTATTATTTGGTAATCTTGTGGTACCATTCATATAGAAAATGCAAAATAGATGCATAACTGTTTACCTTTATTTACCAATTTTTAAAATAATGAATTGATTCCTTATGATTTCCCAAAGATGAGCAATTCATTTTTTTAAATATCATTAGGAATGCAGGGACTTAAACATATTTGATGATATTCATTCAGTCCATTGCAATTATCACAATTAGAGTTCAAATTCTCTCATCCTTAGCCAGTGGGAGCATCTTAAAGTTAGCTTCTTTTGCAATAACCCTAGTGGTCTTTCATTGCTTTTTTGCCAACTGGTATGAAAAATGTTCCATACGCTTTAAGCATTTTTCTGTTACAGACATGGGATCAGCCATTTCTTCAAGGAGCCCTGGTTTCTTTTAGAGAAAAGTGGTATTTCAGTACTACAGCCTGGGTTGGTCACTGTTTCTCGGTCTTTCTATTGGACAGAACTTGTTGTGGGAGAGGGGAGCATGTGTGACTATATGTATGTACAACTAAAACTAACCTCATAAATTTACACTGATACTTCCAATTCAGATTCAAGACTATAAATCTTTTAGCTTAACCGCCTTCTCTGTTACATGTATATCGTTTTTCTCCCACACCAAGATCCTGATTCTCAAGGATACAAGGCAACAGAATTAGGATGTTTAATAATTACTCATTTGTTTTATCCCCTATTACACATACAACAGTCTCAGAATGAAAGTACTAATACTCTCATCAATATGGTTACTGGAAAGATGTAAAAAAATTTTTTGTGTATGTTCTTTCCATTCTTCCCCATTTTAGAAAATAAAGTGATCAGACTATAGCCACACTGTCAGAGCATGTAGCCTTACACCCTGTGCACTCTCCCTTTTAGTTCACTGGTAACTGTATATTTAATTCTCATCACCAGTCCTCAGGTTGGTATCTCACTAAACATTTTGGTTGTCTGAAAAATATTCTATTACACATTCCTCAGGAAGAGCTTATGGAAATATTATCCCTCCAGTTACTGCATGTTGATAAGTTTATCTATGTCTTTTTATAATAAAAAGGCAGTTTTGTTAAGATATCAAATCCTTGGCTAACAATTTCTTTTCTCGGGCATCTTAAATGTTATTTCATTTTTTTTCTGGTATAAAATGTTGATGTAGGGGAAAGTCTGAAGAGAATGTATAATCAATTTCATTTAAAAGAGCACTCTAAGATTATGTTCTTAATACTTTTTTTTACTGCCAAATATCCTTTTGTTCAAGAAATTATAATAATAGTAAATGATGGTTTTTTTATGCCTACTTAAGAGAATAAAAAGTCAGTAACACTATTTGGTATCCAGAATTTTTTTTTTAAGGCTTTAGTGACCTGTACATTCAATTCTTAAAACCTGAACCTCTATAATAGTGCTATTTCAATAATATGAACTATGTATTGTATAGCAGTGACTAATTTTATGCTCACTTCAAACAATTATTTAAATTAAACTGTAAAGAAATCAAGTTCATTTTTAATCTATAGTAATATTATTTATTTTAAAAAATACATTGCAAAATATCTTGTTAAAGTCCTCTTTATCTCCTTTTTTTCTGTGCCTGAGTATATACCTTATAAGAAAATTTTATTTATAACAAAAAGAAGTAACAAAGTCTAAAAAGACTTCTTACAGATAAGTAAGCTGAAATTCCAAATGCGAGGTCTGACAATTAAGTTCATGAACCTGCCACCATGTGCTTACATTGGCAGCACTGTACAAATAGCTCAGTAAGGTTTCATAACCTTGGTATATCAGTTTCTCACAGCTGTATTCGTGACAACGTGTGGCAGTGTCTTGCTGAGTGGCGTTCATTATTTTTGTTGCGTGTTTTTGTGTGCCATTACAAGAACGCCTGAGCTTGCATTAGAGCAATGAACAAATATTAAATTTCTTGTTAAACTTGGCAAGAGTGGAAGTGAAATCAGGGACATGTTTGTCCAAGTTTATGGAGATGATGCCAAGAAGAAAAAGCAGAAGTGTACAAATGGATTAAATGTTTTTTTGAGGGGAGAGAATGAGTCACTGATAAAGAGAGATCAGGGTGGCCAGTAACAAGCAGAACTGATAAAAACATTGCAAAAATTTGTCAAATTGTGCATCATAATTGTCAGCTGACTGAGAAGCATAGCTGACCAAGTAAACATCAATAGAGAAACAGTTAGGAAAACCTTAACTGAAAATTTTGCCATGAGAAAGGTGTGTGCAAAAATAGTCCCGAAAGAGCTCAACAATGAACAAAAGCAAAGGAGAGTCAAAGTTTGCCAAGACCTTTTGGAAAGGAAAGATGATGTTTTGGGCCATGTTATTACTGGTGATGTAACATGGGTGTACCAATACAACCCTGAAACAAAGCATCAAAGTGCACAATGGAAGTCAGCCAATTCTCCACCAACAAAAAAGTTCCGTCAGTCCAAATCAAGAGTCAAAATGATATTGCTAACCTTTTTTGATATCAGAGGGATTATTCATTATAAATTCATACCAACTAGACAAACAGTTAACCAAGTTTACTGTTTAGAAGCGCTGAAAAATCTGCATGAAAAAGTTGGACGACCTGAATTTTTTACCAACAATTTATGGCTCTTGCATCACAATGCACCAGCTAACACAGCACTGTCTGTGAGGGAGTTTTTAGCCAGTAAACAAATAGCTGTATTGGAACACCCTCCCTACTCATCTGATCTGGCCCCTAATGACTTCTTTCTTTACCCGAAGATAAAGGAAATATTGAAAGAAAGACATTTTGATGTCATTAAGGACATGAAGGGTAATACGATGAGAGGCCATTCCAGAAAAAGAGTTCTAAAATTGCTTTGAAGGGTAGACTAGGTGCTGGCATCAGTGCATAGCTTCCCAAGGGGAGTACTTCGAAGGTAACCATAGTGCTATTCAGCAATGAGGTATGTAGCACTTTTTCTAGGATGAGTTTGTAACTTAATTGTCAGACCTCATAGATAAATGGTCAAAAACAGGAAGCTTGATAAACAAAAAAAGAAATTTCAAATAGGCTAATATAAACAAATGAAAATATGTTTGACTTCACTGGTAATAAACAATGTAAATTAAAATAAGGTAAATGGATTGCTGGGTATTTAAGGAAATGGACATTTCATATTCTACTGTTGGGAAAAAAAAACAACCTTCCTGGAAAACTATTTGGCAGTATTTATCAAGAGTCTTAACAATACAGAAATCCTTAAAACCAGAAATCTCATTTCTAAAAGCCTTTTCTGAAAAAATATTAGAGTCTTAGTTGAAGTATCATGATCATGGACATTTGTTGTAGTGTTGCCAACAATTAGAAGCCACATAAATGTCCATAGTAAAATGTTTAAAACAACCCTAATAACTCACATATTAGAATAATATGCAATAATTAAAAATCATTTTGAAGAACATTTAATGATGTATAAACATGTTAAATGGATTCAAAAGTCTATGTAATATAATATTTTATATTAGAAAAATATATGTACATATAATAAAGAATTAATGTTTTCAGTGGTTCTTTCTGAGCAATAGAATTATATCTTTTTCTTTGTATTTATTTACTTACTGTATTTTATAACTTTTCAACAAAGAATATGTATTACTTTAATGATTTTTAAAAATTATTATTAAAAATCATGCATTTTTGGATAAGAGAATTATAGAATAAAACATGTATAGTTTCTCCCTCTGAAGATCAACCTTTTTTAACCAGGCCATGGATTCAACAGTATAAACCGGAAGCCTAAATATTAAGAAATGTAATTCCTTGTTTGTAGGGGACAAATTATCTTCCCAGTTTCTCTTTGCCTTCTCTTCTATGGAAACAAACAGTGCGGCTCTATGTGACAAGGGTGAAGTGAGAACTAAGAGAACGACTGAAATTAAATACTTGTAGCTCTTTAGGAGAATACGTATGTTGATACTATTACTGCAGTGTAACTATTGTTTAGGTTTTCTGTGAAGATTACCAAAAAGCATGTAAAGTACTTAGAGAATCATACAGAAAAGAACTATGTAAATACAAACCGTGATCCTTTCAGTATCACTTCTATTTGTATGTATTGCAGTACAACCTTGAATATTTGGATGCAAGCCATAACCATGTGATAACCCTTGAAGGATTTAGAGGGCTGATGAAACTAACGCACTTAGACTTGAGCTGGAATCAACTGAAAAAATCTGGCGCTGAAATAAATGTGTTATGCAAACACACCACAAGCCTTCTCACTCTTGATATTCGACATAATCCGTGGCAAAAGGTATGCAACAGACATGTTTATAAAAAAAAGTAAACAATTATTTTTATTTCAAAGCCATTTTCTCACTGCCAGAAATAGACAAACTATCTTTGTTTTACTAGAATTTCTTTAGGTAGTTCATAAGTACAATTTAGTGTAGCGATGAAATGAATCAAATGTTACTATAAGAAAAGGCTATAATTTCATATCAGATTGTTTTTGTAATCTTTAATAGTTTGAGAATATTATGGCTTTAAGAGTATTAGATGTCACTGCCACTTGCAAAACTTCAGATAATTTATGTAGCTCAGCGTACTAGAACCCTATTGTAAGGAGGTATAGGAACCAAGAATAATAGAATACAGTGAAAGAAACATACTATTAAGGAGGAACAAATTTGTCACTTCCCCTGATAAACCTGGGTTATAAAGTCTTGTGGTCTATTATAAAAGAAAATTTGGTCGAACACTATTTTTTCACATCAAAAAATGTATAGATTCATGCTGAGAAATTTCAGTATTAGATGATTATATTTAAGGGTATCTCCAAGTATTTAAAATAAGCCCCAAGTTTATAATGTCAAGAATCCTCCTTTCCTTGCTTTTCAAAAATGTATATAAGACTGTGTTCAACATTTTAAAAAGGGACTAAAACATGACTGGTCCTATTCAATTGACCATATTACTGTTTATATTGTTGTGCATCTTCCATTTTGCTCCGTAAAATTGCAGGATATCATTCTTTTGCCAAAGCAGACTTACTGAATGATGACAGTACAACTGTCTCCCTGTTGCCAAATTAGATATCAAGGGCTGAAGATCCGTATTGAATCACACTCCGAGCTGACTAGCTAACTGCTGATCTAAATAAAAGGGAGGCACTGCAGTTGTTCTTTGAACACTTTCACCAGTCACCTTTCAACAGCTTATGGGATCCCCCCACTCCATAAGAGCAGAACCATCCACCTCCAAACAGAACAGATTAATTCATAAACATAATTTAATTTCAACTATTATTGAAAGAATGAAGTTAAGCCTTTATTTTTAGATACAAATAAAATAGGAGATGCATAACTTTGACTTATATGGGAAAGAGTGAAGAAGCGCTCCTTTCCATGCCATAACATATGTAATATGTTGTAAAATTTAACTTTTCGTTATTTTTCCCAAGCCAGCCACATTAAGGCTGAGTGTTATTGGCAGATTAAAGACTCTTACACATTTAGATGGACTCATGATTTCTGAAGAAGAAGCAACAGCAGCTATGAAATTTATTACTGGAACAAAGATTACTCAGGTTGGATTTTACTGTTTAGTATTTCTTGTGCTAGTTAGCATATACAAATTATATTTCCCATACTCTTATTTCATTAAAATTTTGTGTCTTCTTAGCATACTAATTTAAAAAGTCAATTGATATATAACAATTGTATCCCTTGAATTTCTTTTCTGTTTAAATGTATCCCATTTAAAATGAACTGATTGTGTGGGTTCTCATCCCTGCACACTACCCCAAAATTACCTCTAGGATAACTGTTTTTTTCCTAGTCAACCTGAACTCAGAGTCCTTTCTAAAGCCTCTATGAAAATAAGCAACTTTCTGTGGATAAGGTAAGCTTAGAGGCCTTGAGAAAACATTTAATGAATTATCTACGTAGTATATGCATCTGGCTGAAAGAAAAAAAACAAAAAACCTATCAACTTGAGGAAGGGGAAATACCTATAGTATCCAGATTAATAATGTTATACTTTGGCCAAAGTAGCTTCAACATCCTAAATATCTCCACTCTAGTTGTCTAGCTATTTACTTTTTGTGGGGTATTTAAATTTTGATTCCTTAAGCAATGCAATGTTTAATTTTGGATCTATTCAAAATGAAGGAAAGAAACTTTTTGTTGATAAAAATATAATTAACTCCTGAAGAAGAGTTGGGGATTTACCCTACCAGAGATCAAAACTTACTAACATGATTTAAGACAATGTGGAACTGGCAAAGAGTTAGACAAATAGACCAATAGAACAATAAATATAAAGGCCTAATATTGACCCACACATCCATGGAAACTTGATAAAGAACAGAGCTGCCTTTACAGATCAGCCTCCCTCTAGTCAATAGAAGGCACTTGAACAAGTGCATTAAGAACTTCACTGTAAAAGGAAAAGCCAAATGTGTTTTTCCAAGAAAAGATCAGAGGTTATCATTATGACCTTAAATCAAGGAAGAATTTATTACACAAGAAACAAAGAGCATAAACTATAAAAGATTGGATTTGTCTATGTTAAAATTAGTACATCTGTTCCTCAAAGGGCATATCATGAAGAAAGTAAAAAGCTAAGCTACATACTTGGAAAAGAACTTTGCGACACATCTGACAAAATATATTCTTTATATATCCAGCATATATCAGGGAAAAGACAACCAATCAAACAGAAAAATGGGCAAAAGATTTAAACAGATACTTCACTAAGAGGAAATCAGAACAGCCAAATAACTTAGGAAACAATGCTCCATCACATTATTATTCGAGAAAATTAACATTAAAACTACAGCAATCTACTAATTTACAGCCACCAATTGGCAAAAGTTTTAAAGCCTGACAATATTAAGTTTTAGCAAAGATCTGAAGTAATGGTTACAACTGGTACAATCACTTTGGAAAACAATTTAGCATTATCTAGTAAAGCTGAACATATTCATACCCTACAAACCAGTGAGTTCTATATACTCTAAAGAAACTCTTGCATGTATGCACAAGGAGTCATGCTCAATAATATGCATGACAGCAATGTTTATAAAATCAAAACACTGAAATCAGCCCCGATGTTCATTAACAGGACAATTGATAAGGAAATATTATATAGCAATGACATATGAATGATCTGCAGCTACACCCAGCACCATGGATGAATCTCATTAATATAATGAGCAAAAAAGCAAGCCATAGAAGAATACATACATATTATTCAATTTACATAAAGTTAAAATATGTGCAGACTGAATGATATCTTGCTTTATGGACACAAATATAGGTCGATAAAGAAAGCAATCAAATGGTAGATACAAAATTTGAGATCGTATAATCGCTTCTTAGGGGATCTCTTGATTCACTTGAGATGAATGATAGTTTCTGAGGAGAAGAGAGGGGAGAAAAGGATCAGCATGGGGCACACAGGGAACTTCTAGGATAGTAGGAATGTCCTAGCTCTTAATCCGGTTTCATGACTGGATTAGATGGGTGTTTGTATTACATTAATCCTTTCACGGTTTTATGAATATTACTTTGTAATGGTTAAACATTTGCTAAAACAAAAAAATAAGTGAACTATGTAATTTAAAATTTATATGGATATTGAAAACATTTTCAGGAAAAGCAAATGTCATTTTTTGAAATTATTCACTGGGTCACTCATCTAGGGAATAATAGTTTTAACTATATAAAAATTAACTTCTGTATGCTATTTCCTTTATTCATCAGTGTTTTCTATTCTGTTAGTCCTCTCTCTTACAACATTCTAGCACTGCAGAGGAGAGACCACGGGTACTTAGTATCTGGCCATCTGCCAAAATTCTGACACAGGTGTCAAAGTTAGGACCACGCTCACACCTGAATGGAAACTGGTACTTAAAGGTAAAAGCTAATTCTATTAAACCTAATGTAAAGCCTAATTTCAATTGATTTTTAGTCAGCTTGGTCTGTGTATCACAAAGAAGGCACAGATAGGTAAGGGGCAGAAAATTGGAAGAGTCAAATTAAAATTAAATAGGGACATCAAGTTGTGTATCATTATGTCATAGGGGCTAGGCCTTGATGGTAGTCACCATAGAATTGGAGATTTAGGATAAGAGGACACTACAAAACCAAAGAGTAGATGCCAATAATATATCATAATAAGGAAGCAAACTTCAAAGCTCAGAGCCAGAGATCAAGCCAAAAGTTTGGGTGGCAAGGTAAAAGGCATCAAGAATCCTGGCAAGGGCATAGGGGAACTCGTCAGAATTCAGCTAAGGATAAAGGCCAAGGTTACAGAGCAGCTTCTTGCTGCACAAAGCACCGTTATACTTCTTACCAAAGAAACTGGGTTAAGAGAAGCTGAACCTTGGAAATGGAAGATAGTAGTGTCATTGTTTTTATTACGAGATGTATACAGATATTTAGCTGTGATACAGGCCCAGTGACAGCCTTGGCTGATCCCACAGGTAGCTCTGGGATTAGACTGGCCCTTTAAATTTCTCCCACGTTATGCTGAGATGGCCAGGACTTTATATCCCTCCAGTATTGGATGTGGACCAATTTGGGATGGAGTGTGACCTTGGGCGAGACAGCTCGTTGCAGCTGAGGCTGTCCCTGAAGGGGCTGACAGCGATGGCTTTCTGCCAACAGCACTCCCAGCAGCTGGGAGAAATCCTTCACTGCAGTGGGAACCTGACTGGCACAGCCCAGCGTTCACACACTGTAACAGTCCTTATTGGAGTTACAATCTTGTCAATTTTTACTTTTTTTGTACACTATGAGCTTCACGGTATCTTTATGGTGAAGGGATTCCTTTGATGTTGCTTCCCACATTGGAATTGTTTCATGAGACTTTTTATCTTACAACACGGAATTCATTGATGAGATTCAGAAGTAACACATAATCTGATTATTCTGCAGATAACTGCCTTAAATTTAGATGGGCAACATCTCTTTGAAATCACAAATTTAGAAAAACTGGAAAATTTGAAGTGGGCTTCATTCAACAACAATAATCTCACTAAAATAGAAGGCTTGGAATCCTGTGTGAACTTGGAAGAGCTCACATTAGATGGAAACTGCATCTCAAAGATAGAAGGTAAGGGATTTGAGAAACTGAAAGTTTAAAATATGAATGTCTAGCTGACAAGAGAAAACATGAATTAGCACCGAGGAAAGAATTTCTGAAAAGGAAAATCACTAGAGAAGTTCCAAGAAGGTTTGGAGCAGAGTCTTCTAAACACCTATTAGCGGGATCGGTGGCCACCTGCTGTATAGAAGGAGGCCAGCTGGCTGGCTTGCACTTCTCCGGCCTTCCCCTTCTCTCCTCTGTGCCACTGTGTCCTATCTATTACCAAACCTAGCATATTACAAACAACAATTAGTATCTGTAGAGTTGGAAAAAAAAATGAATGGATTAATGAAGTGCTTTTGAAAGAGAAAAAAAACAGCCCAGTCCATTTTTCAAAATATAGAATTAAGTTTACATTTGGAAATTTGAAGACTAACAAAAATGTTAATTTTATTCACTAGAGGGTGGAAATCAAATGTACTACATAACCTTTTATATGGCTACATACAAGTACAATTAAGCAGCTTTACTAATGTCTGGGTATGTGCACATGCACACAAACATATACATACTTATCCGGGTATAGAATTTTTCCGGGTTTTACATTTTAGTAACAGAGTTGCCCGTGGCAAAGACAGAAGGTAAGAATTAGAAATCATGGCTGGAAAAGAGACTTAATTTATACTTTATTCACTTTCGAATTGCTGGATTATTCTTAGCATGTGTCTGTACTACCTTTTTTATAAAACAGAAAATTTGATTTCAAGAAATTACGTATGAAAAAGCAAATATTAGATCTTTTAAAATGGCATGTACAAGTATAGTATTTGTTATACTTCATTTTAATGGCTGTTAATGATATGTTTCTGAAACTTGCTTGACCATAAGAATCACTTGGGGTCCTTACTGAACATACAGACTCACAGGACTCTCCTCTGTGCATTTCAGCTGAGTAAACCTGGCAGCTCAGACATTTGTGTTGAGAGCCATCACTAGTCTTCCATTCCCATACAACAGGGTGTTAGGTTTGCTTTGTATGTACAATTGAGAACCTTATTTCCTTTTTTATTCCCTTCTGTAAGCCCAGTAAAGGGAAGAATTTTCTACCTGTATTTTCCCTAAACTCACTTTTGAGAGAAGATACCTACCCCACTAAACTTTAACAGATATTTTGCTTCTTTTTTAAGGATTATTACTTTGATGGTTTTATTCTAACTTGTCCTAGATTGATTTACTTTCAACATTGCATAGTCCCATGATGGAGGCTGGTGTGAAAGGAGAGCATGGATAAAATTTATTGAAGAGCAATTATTTGCCAAAAGCTATAACTGATGTTTTCAAATCCCATTCCATTTAATTCCATAACCCCTTAACAGTAGATCTCAGTATGTCTATTTTCTAGATAAGGAAAATGAGGCTCAGAAGTTACAAATTTTCGCATAATATATCTATGGTCCCAAATCTAGTAGTGATACATTTGAAACCAATTCTGGCTCCAAAATTCTTATCTTTCAACTGCACCTTCCTACCTACAGTTACAAAGTGCCTACAGTCTATAAAGTACATAAGAATTAGACTGGTGGGAAGTGGCATTTTTTAAAGTTCTCTTTTAGAGAACTTTAAATAGGGCAACTTTTAATCATACAAAGATAGAATTAGACTAAATGGTTCTTCATAATACAGATGATGCCACAATGAGGAATACTTTCCAGAGTGTTGTACTCTATCTAGTTCCTTACCCTTGTTTTAAAATGGGGGCTGGTGATTCTTTTCAACTTTGTATAGAGCTTTGTGTTACTGTGATGGTGAAAAATCTTAATTATATTATTTGAAGGTTATTTGAAAGCAAAATTCAGCATTTCCTACATAATGCCTTCCCTTATACCTAAGAACAATGAGTCCACTTAGAAATCCCAAACTGGAATTTAATGTATTAGCTGGGACTTTGTGTACATTATATCCTTCTTAAATAAAAGGGTAAACAACGATGGCAAATATTATAGAATCCGTAAAGCTGCGTGACTTAGAAAAAGAGAAACAGAAAAATGAGCAGTCAGTTATTTTTAAATTAACCTTGCAGTGCAGTCTGAATCTTTTCTTGAATTTGTTTATTTTTCTAGGCATTTCCAAGCTGACTAAATTAACCCGCCTCAGCCTAAATAATAACCTTCTCACCGGTTTGGAAAAGCATGTTTTTGATAACATGCTCCATCTTCACTCCCTTTCTCTTGAGAAAAACAAAATCACTTCATTGAGTGGTTTACAAAAAGCTTTTACTCTAATTGAATTATACATAAGCTATAACTATGTGGCTATCAATCAGGAGATCTACAATTTAAAGGTGACTATCTGGGGTAATGTTTTTGTTTTTAAAATATTTATTGTTTGTATTATGAAAGCATGCATGTTCCCTGTACAGGATTTGAAAAATATAGAAAAAATGCAAAGAAGAAAATAAAAATCAAGACTAGCAAGGTTTATTAAGATGTATCTGCATTCAATTCATGTATACATACAAACATATGTATGTGTAACCACAGTGACCCCAGGTTGATAGCCTCCTAGGATAAATTTTTTTATTTAGTATTTAAATAAAATAACCCAAGCCCCATTCCTCCTAACTAGTGCCTTCCTCATTATTTCTAAGGATTACCCAACCTGGTTGGGGAGTAAGATTCTTTAACATTTCTGGTTCTCAGAGCAATTCTTAATTATCTGTCACTTACTGGTTCTTACCGGTGACTCCACTTTGCCCAGCTTTGCTCTCTTTAATTCTCCCAAAGAAACCTCTAATGCAAGGCTACTGTATAACAGCCTTTACCGAAGGTTTGAATAAAATGAAAGTTTACTTCAGCACAGAATAGGAGTTCACTTCAAGTGTAATGTGTGATTTCATTGTTTCTGAAGTTCAATGACCATTTCTTACCACTGGAACTCTCCCCGTGGCCTCTTCCCTTTTCCTATATTTCCAGGACTTTATCTCCTACCAAAAACATATATCCCTTTCCCATCTTTCCTTAAGTTTGGCTTTCTCCCCATCTTACTGCCCCAATATAACTACTACTTCTAAAGCTGCAGAGGCAACCTAATCCACGAAACAAACCATTTTACATTATGATGCAGAGCAGTTTTACTCCCTCTTCTCTTACCCTCATCTATCCATATCTACGCAGGACACTTCCTTCACAACAAGGACAGGTCAAAATGTCTGACAAGAAAGGACATTTTCCCTTAAGATGAATTCTGCTACTCTCTCAGAGGCAGGAGCACTTCAGTTTTATCCCTCATCAGAAGGCAGTGTTCTTCATTCCTGTTATATCTGTATACACACATATATACTGTTTAATAGGCCATTATTCCGTAAACAATGTATATTGTTTTAAACTTAGCAAAGTTTCCTCCAAGTCTTTACCACTGATAGATAACACACTTAGCCCTAGCATCCTCAAAAGGATTCAGATCATTAACACAGACCACTGAAATATACAAAATTAGACCTTAATGGTCTGAAAGCATAACCCTCGCACTAAAAAGTACATGTAAAAGCACTCAAATAACTGTGAATTGATAGGGTAATTCAAATATTGTAATTCAAGATGATTAAACTCTTAAGGGGAAAAATTGCTAGAGTGATGTAAACATATCACTTTAAATGTATGTATTTTTTTTACCCAGGGTTTATGCAACCTGGTCATTCTAGACATGTATGGAAACATTATTGTTTGTAATCAAGAAAACTACCGGTTGTTTGTAATATTTCATCTTCCAGAACTGAAAGCATTGGATGGAATCTCCATTGTAAGTTGTTTTATGACTCATAGTATTTGGACCAAGTTGCAATATTCACACATCCATAGGCCATGATCATTTTCAGCATTGCTTTATCACTAGTATGATATTCAAACTTACTATGCATATTAATATCTAGGTCTCCAAAGTACATTTTAGTCCTGGGTTTTTTAATCTTCTCATCTCGCCAGCTCTTAATCGTATAAATTGAGGTGGCAGAGGAGAGAAGATTCTGCCTACATTTACACCCACTGATTTCAATGCCTAAAAACTAAAGAGCACAATTTTATGGGACGAGATAGAAAAAACTGCTCTGGGGCTCTACCATCCTCTTGAGTCTAAAAAATGCTTTCTATTTCCTGGAAAAATACAGTTGTTAATATTTAAGAAAAACATATTTGAACCAACAAATGGTATGTCAATATTACTAGTAAACTGTAAAGAAAAATAACAGAACATAGGGCTAAATATGAAAGTAATATTTGGAAACTCGGAGTCTATAACAAGCAAGTTAATACAGGGTTCCTGATTTCCATGTAACAGGGTAAGTGCATGACAAATATATGAAGAATAAAAAGGTTCCCTGAGTAACACTGCCTCGCTCCTGTCAGACAATTAAACTCATCAAATCTAGAAAATTGAGAGATTATTTGGGACTTTGAGGTGCTCTGAGAAGATTGCTAATTCTAGCCTTTTTTGGAACCCTCCTTAGAATGGAGAATTCAAAAACATTCTCCCCATTGCAAACTCCATAGAGTCTGGGATACTGGGTTTTATTGTTGACTTTCATTGTAGGATGTTTTAAAAATAGTCTTAGTAAACTAGTACATACTTCATTTGTTCTAATGATGTTGGTGAGGATCTTAGCTTTCCTCTCTGTCTGTGCTCTCATTTGAAGGATCACAGGAGAAAGTGCTTTTGGAAATAAGTGTAGGAAAAACTTCTTCCCCTAAGGAAAATTTATGTTCTGCTCACTGACAATGAGTATGATTTAACCATTTTCCTTTTCATTTTGACTACCTAAAAGCTCGGGGCCAGATTTATGGTTCAATAACAGCAAATCTTGTAGGATTTATGATCTCTCTGTCCCTTTCTCCCAGGTAGATCTATTCTAATACATCATTCTTGGTCTATATCTTCACAATTTATTACTTTCATTTTGCTATTGGATCCTATGTATTTCCTATAAGCTGCCACAAATTCTTTGTGGGATGGGGTAGAATATAAATATATGAATTAATAATGGGACATGAAGACTAGACTTGATAATTTAGACTTTAATTGAGACATACTGGGAAGGCATTAAAGATTTTTGAGTAGGAGGATAACATATTCAAAACTATGTATTAGAAAGTTTAATCTAACAGTTGTGTATACAGTGATGAAAGACCAATCGGAGGCTATTAGAATAGTCTACATATGAGGTAATGAGAACCTAAACCAAGGGGAATTGACTTTAAAATGGAGAGCCGAAAGGTATGAGAAATACTGGGGAGAACTGACAGAACTTGGCAACCAGTTGGATTTGAAGAACAAAGAAAGGGAAGTGTAAAAGGTTTGAGTCTGTGCCAATAAGAGATATCATAACAGAAATGTGAATATAGGAAGAAAAGCAGTTTTCAAAAATAAGATGATTAGTGTTGCACAAATTAGCTACTAAGTTTTATATGATAGTGGATTATCTGACTGAAGTTGTTATGTAGGCAGTTAAAAATACAAATTTAAATATGGAGATTTAATTTGCATTTGTTTAGATTTGGAAGTAATCTGAAGAAAGTTGATAGTTAAAACCAAAAGCTTATGTACAATTGTCTAAGGAAAGTAGAGAATGTAAATCTAAGTGAAGCTTTAACAGGAAATGTAAAGAGGAAGCCAGAAAAAAAGTAGCTGCAGAGGGAGATAGGAGCGCAATATAATCCTAGAGTGTTTGAGATGTAAATGGACATGGACTTTAGAAATGAGATAGTCCAAATCCTTTATTTATGGATGAGCACAAAGAACTCCAGAGAATTTATGACTTATTCCAACTGCTATGACTCTAATGGTAAAGCCTGGACGGCTGAGCCTCGCTCCCTGTCCAGGCTCTATGGACACAGAATCACACTGCCTTCTTTGGAGTGGGAACCAAGGGAACACACAGACTATGAAGACCCAGAGAGCAGTCTGGGCAGTTGTGTTTTCATTTTATCCCCTCTTTTTACATACTTCTATTTTTAAAACATCATTTTTACAAGAAAAGTACAGGAAAACATTGCCAAGCACTGATTTAGAAGGACACTAACCAAATGTTTATTTTTATGATTATGAAAAATGCAAAAGCAATGGTATTCCTTTAGCTGAATTAATGTATTTTTAAAACTTATTCTAAAATTGTGTCATTCAGGATTCAACCAGAAAAAATGTAACTAGTATGAGGTGTGTGTGTGTGTGTGCGCGCGCGTGTGTGTGTGCATGCATGCATGCGTGCATGTGTGTGTGTGTGTAAGAGGTTTGTTACACGGAATACTTAACAATTTGCTGGGGCTGCCTAAGCAAGTCTGAAATCCATTGGACAGACCATCAGGAGGAGATTAGGGACAGGCTGGAACTCATGGTCATTGTCCAAAGCTACTATCTGTAGGTAGATTCCTTTTATCTTTCAGGGAAGTCTCAGCTCTGCTTTTAAGGCCTCAGTTGCTTGAATCAGGTCCACCCAGTTCATCCAAGATGAGCTCCCTATTGAAATTCACCAAATTAGGAGCTTTAATTAGACTTGCAAAATACCTTCACAACAACACCTATTGTACATTATTGTTTAATAGAATAACTGGAGACTGTCGCTTCATTTACTTTGCAGCACTGTTGTTTGGTGCGTACAACTTTAGGATTGTTGTATCTTCTTGGTAGATTGACCCTTTCACTGGTATGTAATTTCCCTCTCTGTCCCTGGTAACTTCCTTTGTATCAAAGCCTATTTTATCAGATATTAATATAGCCACTCCTGCTTTCTTTCGATTAATATTTGTGTAGTATATCTTTTGCCATCCTTCTACTTTCAACCTGTATATATCTTTATATTTGAAATGAGTTTCTTGTTGACAGCATACAATTGGATCATGTTCTTTTCTCCACTGCCAGTTTCTATCTTTTAAATGGTAAGTGTAGATCACTTCCATTTCAGGTAATTATTGACATGTTAGTGCTTAAGTCTGCCATTTTATTTTTTGTTTTCTGTTTGTTTCCTCTACTTTCTTCTTCTTTTTTATTTCTCTGAAAGAGAAAGCTTCCTGTGAACTACTTCAACATTTTATAGAATTTTATTTTTTTAGTATATCTTTTTATGTAGGTTTCTTATTTTACTGGTTGCTCTAGGTATTACATTATATATACATAACTTATAGCCTACTCGTGTTAACATTTTTATCAGCTTGAGTGAAATATTAGAAACCTCACTTGCTTTTAAGTCTATTTCTCCTCTACTGTTTATAGTTACCTTAAATATTCCTCTCTATGTATTGAGAACCACATCAGACAATATTATACTTTTTTGCTTCAACTGATCAAATATAATTTAGAAAACGCAAGGAGAAAAGGGAAATCTACTGTACTTATGTCTTTCTAGCATGCTTTCTTCTTTTCTGGTATTCCAAGATCCCTGCCTCCTTTTTTCCTTGTTTGTTTGTTTGTTTCAGGAACTTCTTTTAGCTGTTCTTTTAGGGTAGGTCTGCTGTTGACAAATTTGCTGAGTTTCCTTCATCTAGGAATGTTTTAACTTCCCCTTCATTTTCTGAGTGATATTTTCTCTGGATATAGGATTCCGGGTTGACAATTCTTTCCCATGGTTTCTGATGAGAAATCTTGGAAACCAAAAGAATGTGGCACAACATTCCATGAATGAGAACCACAGCGTTCTCTTGTTTCTGTGGTTTCTAATGAGAAAGCTGCTGTAATTCAAATTGTTTTCCTCTTATAGGTAAGATTTCATTTCTCACTGCTTTCAAGATTTTTTTTCTGTCTTTAGTTTTTAGAAAATGGATTATGATTATGATTATGTGTCTTGACATGGATTTTGAGGTGTTTTGCTCTTTAGGGGTTTGCTTGTCTTCTTGAATCTGTAAATTTATGACTTTTGACAAATTTGGGGAAACTTCAGCTATTATTTCTTCCATTACTTTTTCAGTTCCATTCTACTTCTCCCATTCTAGGAATCCTATGATATTCATGTTAAATCTTTTGTTAGGGTCCCACATATTCAGGATGTGGTCTATCTTGGTAAGGTGAAGCTCATTTTTTTAAGTCTGTTTTCTCTATTTTGTTCAGGTTGAGTGATATCTGTTGTTCTATGTTCAAGCTCCCTGACTCTTTCCTCTATTCTCTCTATTCTGCTGTTGAGTCCATCCATTGTGTTTATTTGGTTATAACATTTTTCAATTCTAAAATTTCCACTTGTTTTTTCCTTATATCTTCTATTCCTTTGCTGCCAGTTTTTATTTCTTTGCTGAGAGTTTCTATATTTTCATTTATTTCAAGCATGTTCACAATTACTCATTGAATCATTTTTGTGATGGCTTCTTTTTAACACATGTTCTAATCCTTGTCAGATAATTATAACATGTGTCATTTAAGTGTTGATGTTCGTTGTTTGCCTTTTCACATTCAAGTTGAGGTCTTCCTGATTCTTGTTATGCTCGATCTTTCTTTTATATTCTGGAAATTTGGGGTATTACGTCAGAGACTGTATGGATCTTATTTAAATCTTCTATTTTAGCAAGCTTCCCATGACATTGCACCAGTAAGGAGATGGGGCACCACTTTGTTGCTGTCAGGTGGGGAATAGTAGTCCAAGCTCCCCCACTTGGCCTCTGTTAACAATCTGGAGGTGTATGCTTCAATTGCTAGGCTATGGTAGGAGCTCACATTCCCCATAGGCCTCCACTGACTCATCCTGACTAGGAAAGCCGGAAGTTCACCATTAATAACAGACAGATCATTGTTACCAGGTGGAAGTAGAACATGTTCCCCATGTGTTCTCTAGTAACACTTCTTTGATGGGTACATTACTGCTGGGACAGGATAAAGATCCAGGCTCCCGATTCAGTGTGTGTGTGTGTGTGTGGGGGGGGGGTCGTGCCTTGTTACAGCTGGGCAAGGATAGAAGCCTATGCGTCCATTTTGCTTTTACAGGTAAAAGTAGGGCTGCAATGTATTCCACGGTGTTTGGCTAAAGTAAACCCATTATTGTCTAAAAGTTTTCTACTTGTTAGGCTTCCCGTTTTCTAGTCTCTTGACTAAAAGAGTAAGCTTTTTTATGGATTTTTGTTGTTGTTGTTTGTTTTCTCTTATTGGTATTTTGGGGTTTCTGAATTCTCTAGCACCTACTTCAGCATATATCAGGCAAAAAAAAAAAAAAGGTCTAAAGGAAACACCCACTTCTGTGTGTTTCCTTTACTCTTACACTACTACCACACTCACAACACTTCTGACACCAAATGTGTGGGTTTTCCAGACATCAAGCAATTCTCTGGAGCCAGTTGGGTATCCTAGAATTCAACTGAATTCTGACATTACCTACCTAGAGATAGCATCAGGTCCCACAGGCTAAGTGCTCAGTCCCACAATACTGCCCCCACCCCCACTTCAGAGGACTATCGCAAGTTGTCACCTGTGCTTCTAACTGGCTATAAATAGGAGGTTCCCATGACCACCTTCTTAGGTTTGATTAATTTGCTAGAGCAGTTCACAGAAGTCAGGAAAACATTTACTTACTAGATTACTGGCTTATTATAGAAGGCTATTACTCAGGAACACCCAAATAAAAGAGACACAGAGGGCAAGGCATAGAAAGGGGCACAGAGCTTTCATGCTCTCTGAGCATACAGGTCTCCCAGCACCTCCATGTGTTCACCGACCCAGAAGCTCTCTGAACCCCTCTCTTTGGGGTTTTGATGGAGGCTTCACTATGTAGGCATGATTGATTAAATCATTGGCCATTGATGGCTGATTCAACCTCTAGCCTTTCTCCCTTCCCTGGAGGTCAGGGGGTGGGACTGAAAATTCCAACCCTCTAATGATGGTTGGTTCCTCTGGAAACCAGCCCCCATCCTTCCAGACTTTCCAAAAGTCACCTCGTTAACATAAATTTAGATATGGTTTAAAAGAGCTTGTTATGAATAATAAGACACTCTTTTCACCATTATGGTTCTGGATCTATTTCAGAAACCTATGATGAAAGACCAAATATGACAAAAGATGCCCCTATGGCTTTTATATAGGAAATCAAAAGGTTTTAGGAGCCATGTGCTATGAACAGTGGATGAAGACCAAATATGTATTTCTTATTATAAATCACAATATCACAGTCCACCTTCTGGTCTTTGAAGACAGATCCTTTACAGCAAAATGATAATATTAAAAATATACTAGCATATTACTACTATCCCATTCAGTCATTATCCAGTCTGTAATTATATGAAAATATCTCCCAGGTGAGGCCACTCAGATTTGCAGTTCTGCACTGGAGACCTTGTCAGGTTCCAAGAGCAAGAGTGATCTCAGAAAACATAGCTTCACCCTTTCAGGCATCTGATATAATTGAGTTAAGAGACAATATCATCCCTTGCTCTGAGCCTCTTTTGAGATGTTAATATAATATTGAATTTTCCTCATTATATAATCTATTTGCTAGTTGCTTTACCTATACTACTATCTCTCCTCTCATTTTATACCCAAACTTTTCCACCTGTGGAAGGGATAATGGGTTCCACCTCTGTGCTGGTCTAGACTGCAGATAGCAGTACTAATCTAGCAAGTACCTGCCCCTCAGTCCACTCCGGTTCAAACAGGGTAAGGCTATATAGGTGTAGAACGAGTGGGCTATTTTTGTCACCCAGCAATACAGCTACACTCACTGTTAACCACAATTGTGCCAGGTTAGGGTAAAGGCAAAACCCACCCCATCAGGAATTCTGACATAAGGTTTTAAAACACAGTCATAGTTTCATTGCTTAGGAATCATCCCTGTTTCCAGCACTTGTAGTTGCAGCTATGGTCTTGGGACCACAGCATCAAGTAGGAAAGAAAAGTTGAGGTGATATGGGGAAGAAGAAGGAAAAAAAGTGTAGTGGTTATACCAGCATCATCCTCCCATGGCAAGAACTGCAGTCATACCAGCATCCTTCCCCAGCCCCTCTTCCCCAGATCCACCAGAAAAACAGAAAAATCTGTCCAGTAGGGACACACCTTTAGGCTCACTCATGCTCACATTGAGTGTGTGAGCACGCTCATGAAGGCAGGGAAGCCAGTCCGTCATGCTCTCATCTCCCCCTGTTAGACAGCCAGTGCTTTCATTGCCTATTCCATTTCTCTATCAAACTGTTACCCTGAGGAGGATATCTCTCTGCATATGGTTGGACATTATGGGTGTCAAGTGTGTTCCTTGGTCTGAAGAAATAACAGTCAGCTGTCAAAATTGTTCCAATATCTTCTGTTCCATTTCTTCTATAGTGCTCTGAGCATTTGCTTTTACTACTAGGCAAGCAAAACCCAGTCAAGAGTCAGTATCTATTCCTGTCAAGACCCATTTGTAACCCCCCAGTGCTACTAACATCAGTCTGACTTGCCAGCTATGTTCAGTGCCTTCCCACACACACACACACACACACACACAGAAATCTGCCCCTTGGCCACCTGCAGTCTCTGTGTCTTTTGCTGGCTGACAGAACAGCCTTACTGGTATTTTGTGCCTCAGAGGGTGCAGGAAGAATATGTCTAAATTCAGCCCATCTCTGCATTGCTGTAGACCCCCATTATCCACTTACTCATTTCATAGACTCAGGTGGCCACATTAACTAAGCATATTGGGGGCATCTGCTTGTTGATTCCAATCACCTTCCAAACCCAGAAGGCAGTTCCAATGGGCATCAACATGTCCTACTTTAATGCACCCCTCATAGGGCTGTGCCCCGTATGGGCATCCCTTTAGTAGGCCAGGCTTCCATTGCTCTCCTTTCTGATTATATGGCCAGACCAGAAGTATTGGATGAAGATAAAACATACATATCTTCTTATAAATCACAATAACAATCAGGGAACTCACCACAGTGTCATTCCTCAGGTCCCAAGGTCGCTAACTGATCTGCCTTCTTCTCTGTACCTTCCAGGCTCCTTATGTTTATTTTCTATATAATGAGCAGGGCTTTTAGTTGTGCTTAGTAGAAAGAATAGGGAGCAATGCATCCACTCCATCCTGACCTGGAATCAAAGAATTAATGCCATTTAGTCATGTAAGAAAGGACATCACTTTCTAAATGTTCTCATCTATAGGAACCACCAGAGACTGAGAGTGCAAAAGATTTGTTTGGTGGCAGACTTACTTCAGACATGATTGCAGAGCGACAAGGACATTCAGACTTCACCCAAATGCAAGAACTGAATTGGACTTCATCATCCATCAGGTACAATTATTTTATTATATGCTTTTTTGACATTATAATTAAACATGTATTTACTATCATTTTTCTAAGGTTTATAATGTATACATCTTATCCAAATATAACCAATAATTCAGAAAATTATCTACCCTGCTTTAGAATGTCATGCTAACTTTACCACCCTTTGAAATATTTGAATAATTTTTATTATCTCACACTATGGTTAAAATGTCATCAATCTCTTTCTAAGACTTTGTATTTCTCTATTCTTTTATAACCCAGCTTTTAAATTTTGCTACTCACACTGCTCTAATCAGTACAGTCTGGGTTCCACTGCCATCATCCCTCTGATGCTATTCTCATGGATGCCATCACTGTCCTCCCGGTTAAGAAAACTTTTCCTCTCCTCTCTTGTTCTTATTTTACACTCTTCACAGGCAGACATCTCTAGCCACATGTTTATGATGATGATCCCCATATTTAGCCCAAATCTAGGCTCCTCACTTGAATATTCAGTTGCTCTCTAAATAGCATCTAGAAAAAAATCCACCTGTTGTTGCCCAAGCCAGAAATCTAGGAACTGTCTCTTTGCCTCTTTTGTCCTCCACTTTTAATTAATCACCATGTTCTACAGAGTCTGTGTCTTAAGTATGTCTCATAATTACCCCACCCGCTCTTTCCATAGTCACTGCCATTGGCTTAGGTTGGGAAATGAACTATTTTAGAAACTTTTTCGATGATCTTTTTGGGTTTTGTCTTCTATAACCTTCCCTGCCAAGTCTATTTATCATTCATACTGCCTTCTAAGATGCCAGTTTTACCAAATCTCTTCCCTTGTCAAAATTGTTTAGTGGCTTTCCATTGTCTACATAATAAAATTTAATGTCCCTTTGTATGGCAGAGAAAACCCTTTAATTACCTATTTTTATTTCTTGTAATCCTTACCCTTACTGTCCTATAACTCTTTATTCTCCAGAAATTCTAAAATATCCTAGTTCCTTAATCTCAATCACAAGATGTTGTTTCATGTTTCTGCCTATGCTTACGCCTGTTCCACCACCTAAAGCGCTTTCTTTTCTATTTTGCCTAACAAATGCCTATAGAGTCTCCAACTCTCATTTTAAGATCTTTCTACCCTGTGAAGCCATTTGTGATTTCCCCAAATATTTTTTTCCCTAGAATACCGGTTACACCTAACTCTATTATAACAATTTTTCTTTTTCATTTTAGTTTTTCTGGATCCCACTTCTTGGGGCAGCGACAGCGTCTTTTCATATTTGCTGTAGCCTTCCAAACACATTAATTGTCTGCACTTAGGAAATACTAATGAAAATATGTTGAATAAATTACTTATAACTAGATAAAAGTATGTTGTAATTGTAACTTTGGGGTTTCGAATTTGAAGAAGTGGCTAGGGCAAGGTTAGGGCGTGGCTCAAAGGAAGGTGGAACAGTTGTAAAGCTATGGACTAGGAACCAAGCATTCTGTTTAATTACCAAAACACCCTTACAAGGTGGAATGCCATAAAAGTTTTCTGGAGGTCCCACGGAAAACTGTTTTCAGAGACCTTACCTGCTTTCTTCTTTTCTTTCCCTTTCCTAACCCATTCCTGGTATTTCATAAATAACTTATTTCACACGTATCCTCTACAGTTTACAACCTGAAATTCTTATGATTTACCGTATCAATTTCACTATGGTTTCATAAACATGTGAATTTATAAAGAAATTAGAGATGTTTATTTTTAAAGTTTCTTTTATGATTATGCTATTTTTATGTGGTAATAAACATGTTTTTTAAAGCAATCACATTCTATGTCATTTTCTTACATCGTGTACACTCCTCCCCTCCCCAAATATGTTACTTATCTGATCATTTGACCCACACATTTTACATTACGGCAGTTTGTTTTCATAGCATTTGTCAGATGAGATTTTTTAAAATTGTACTAGGCTATTCACCTATATAATTTTCCTATTAAAATTATAACTGTGTTTCCTTTGTCTAAATTCAGAACTGTGGATTTGATTCCAGTTGACCAATTTAAAAATGTGTGTAATGTGAATCTACAGAACAATAATCTCACCTCATTCAGTGGATTAATCTATCTGCCTAATGTGAAGGTGAGTCACAAATTTTCTTTCAAAGTTTTCAACGCAAGCTGTAATTGTCTGTACTTTGGATTAAAATGTATTTTCGTGTTTTCAAGAAGAGAAATTATTCCTCAAGTTTTTTTTGTTTTTGCCAAGCAAGACAAAGTATTCCCTTCCAAAGTTATTTTGGTTGACCTCAGTTTTATGTGGTTGTCTTATAAGCAGTAAATCTTACTCTGCAGTAGGAGATGGGGTAAAAGGCTGCCTCTATAGTTAGTGGGTATGGTATGAAGTTGGAGGACACCGCGGTTCTGAAAGCAGCTTCATTGCCCCCTGCCCTATAGCTTTGACTGAGCCACCTACTAAGGCCTTTTAAACACAGGGAAATAATGATCTCTCCAACTAAAGGGTGATTTCATCTAAATCAGGCTTGGAGAAGTCAGGTGCAGATCAAGAAAATTGAGCTTTCTAGAGTCTCCATTATTTTGTTTGAAATGTGGTCATTTCCCAGCATGTCAGATAATAACACATTTAAAGCCCAACCCAGATAATTTGTGATGTAAAAATTAGTCATTTTTAACACCGATATAATTAAATGATATTGTATGGTCCAAACATGTTAATAATTTTTAAGATGTTAATCTCAAACCAAAGATGTATGGATAGCAGCATTCATATTTTAATGTCTGATTAATAAACTATCCTTTCTGTAGGTCTTATGCCTCAATTATAATCACATTGAATCAATCACGCCCAGACTAAAGCCTCAGACCCACTTGACCAACAGACAGCTCCTCTATCAGAAAGTGCCTTCAAGTGGCTATGGACAGCAAGGAACTTCAAAAATAAACAGGTACTATTCTTTTTTTTTTACAATTATAAATAATTCTGGTTGGGAATTTAAAAAGCATTTAATCACATTAGTGATAGCTGTAATATACATTTAGCTTATTTTAATACTTACTTTATAGCTACATGCCAAAATAAACATCCCAAATAAAAAGATGCTGAAAAGACTCCTTTGTCATTGCTTTTCCCCTGCTTCCTCCATTTCATACCCATATCGTAAAAAATGGAAAAAAAAAAAGAAAAATCTTGTATGTTTAATGACCTTGTTTTTTTTTTGAGATACAACTCACTATCACATTCACCCTCGATGCACAATTCCATGATTATTTTACAATAGTATGTTCACAAAGTTGTGCAACCGTATGGCCATCTAATTCCAGAACATTTTCATCACCCCACAAAAGAACCCCTAATTTAGGAGCATGAGCTTAGGTTTCTTTTAACTTTTGTTTTTGTTTCTAAATTATTTACCCGGTTATATAACATAGCAATGGAAAAGATACTTTCTGAAGAAGATGAGGGCATTCCTCCCATCTTCCTACATGTTTTTGGTAGAACGCAAACAGATACGTGTTATCTCCAAGTCAGAATACTTTCATTACAGTCTTCCCAATGAAGAGCATTCCTTGTGTTTTTGTTACCTTTACTGAACTATATAATTTACATAAAATAAATCTCACCAATTTAAGTGACAGTTTAATGCATCTTGATAAATGTATTCATCATGGAACCATTACCACAATCAAGGTACAAACTATTGCCATCTCAAAAACTTTCCCTACATCACTTTACAGTCACCTACCCCCACACCCTGGCCCCTGGCAACAACCACTGATCTGCTTTCTACACTATAAATTTTGCCTTTTTCTAGAATTTTATATGATTAGAATTATGTATAATAGTAAGTAGTCTTTTGTGTCTGGCTTCTTTCACTTAGCATAATTCTTTTTAGATTCATCCATGTTGTTGCAAGTGCAGTAATTCATTTCATTTTGTTGCTGAGTAGTATTCCATTATATAGATGATATGACAAGTTGTTTATCCATTTGTCGTTGATGAACATTTGGCCAGTTTCAGGCTGTTTTGATTAAAGCTGCTATGGACATTCCATTTATACACATCCTTTATAGTGGGGACTATTCATATTTGTTTTTAACAGCTTTATTGAAGTACAGTTTACATACTATAGTCACCCATTTAAGTGTCTAATTTTTACTAAATTTAGAGAACTATGCATCACCACAATACAGTTTTAGAACATTTCCATCACACTCCAAAAAGATCCTTCTTATCCATTTGCACTCCGTTCCTTTTCCTACCTCTAACTCCAGGAAATCACTAATCCCCTTTCTACAGAGTTGTGTTTTCTAGACATTTCGTATAAATGGAACCATATAATATATGGCCTTTGCATCTGACTTCTTACATTTAGCATAATGTGTTTGAGGTTCACCCATGTTATAGCCTGTATTAGTAGTTCATTCCTTTTTATTGCTAAATGTGTTGGGTATTCCATTGTATGGATATGTCAGATTATGTTTATCCATTCACCAGCTGATGGACATTGGATTGTTTCCACTTTGGGGCCAGTATGAGTCATGCTACTATAGACTTTGTGTAGAATATTTGTGTGCACTTATGTTTTTATTTCTCTTGGGTAGATATCTAGGAGTGAAATTGCTGGGTCATATGGAAACTTAATGTCTAACTTTTTAAGAAACTGCCAAACTATTTTCCAAAGTGGTTGTACCATTTTTGCATTACCAACAATACTTTATAAGGGTTTTAATTTCTCCACTTCCTCACCAACACTTGTTATTGTCTGTCTTTTTTATTACCGCCACTCTAGCTAGAGGTTTTGAAGTGGTATCTCACTGTTGTTTTAATTTGCATTTCCCTTATGACTAATGCTGTTGAGCAGCTTTTCATATGCCTATTATAATAAGTTTTGAAATCAGGGATTGTAAGCCGTCTGACCTTGTTCTTTTTAAAGATTGTTTGGATAGTCTTTGCATTTCCTTACAATTGTTAGGCTAAGATGGCTATTTTCTGGGGGGAGGAAAGGTCCTGATGAGCGTTTGATAGAAATTGCAATGAATCTATTGATCAATTTGGGAAGAACTACCATCTTAGTAATACTGAGTCTTCTAATTCATGAACATGAAATATTTCTTCTCCACTTAAGTAAATCTGTAATTTATCTCAGCAATGTTTTGTAATTTTCTGTGTATACAATTTGCACTTCTTTTGTTAAATTTTTTCTAAAGTATTTTATTCTTTTTTTTTACTGTTATGAGAAGAATTCTTAATTTCATTCTGTTTATTGCTAATATATAGAAATTAAAATGATTTTTTATATTAATCTTTTACCCTGTGATCTTGCTAAACACATTCATTAGTGCAATAGTAGTTTTTTGGTGGATTGCTTAGGATTTTCTAAATACAAAATCCTGTCATCCAAGAATAAAGACAATTTTACTTAATTCCTTTCCAGTCTAGATGCATTTTTTTCTTTTTCTTGGCTGATTGCACTCACTCTTGCTTTTCATTTTAAGTAACTTTCTGTACTTTTGTTCTTTATCATATAAAAATATTTTAAAGAATAAAAATGATTATTAGATATCAATAGACATAGTACAGTTTAATTCTGATATATTAGTAAATTTATTCTTTTTCTTTTTTCAACTTAAATTTATAGTAAGTACATACCAGACTGCTTTTTATGATATAGCTGGTTTGAAATTAAGTTTATGGGATCAAACTTACATCTGTGTTTCAGAGATACAATGAGCAATGAAAATTTGCCTCCAATAATGCACAGTTTAGAAGTTCTTCATTTGGGCTACAATGGAATTAGTAATTTAATTCAGCTACAACTAAACAGACTGAGAAATTTAAAATTCCTCTTTCTACAGGGTGAGTAGCAACAGTGTTAATGTGTAAGTCTTTATAATTAAAAACTTATTTGATCATCATTCTTTTTGATAAGTAAATACAAGCATCAACATTTACTTAAAACAGGTTCATTGACAAAAATACTTTAGCTATCACAAATGAGTTTTTCTTGGGTTATTTACATAAATAATGTAAATACAATATTTTAGGACTACAGAATATTTCATTCTCTAGGCCATATATTCTAGGGCTATGTACAGCATTACATCATAATTTATTTTTAGATCACATTCTATTTTTAAAACAATAAAAAGTAACCAGTGAGTAATTCACAAGTACTTACTAAACCCAGAATTGTGCAAAGTACTAAGAAAGATACAGAAATATTACATTATTGTAATTACATATAATTGAGATCCTTGCTCTAAAGTAATTTAAGATCTGCCAGTGGAGATATACTGAGACAAAGATGAATTAAGTTCTGACTATGTGTTATTAAGTGTAATAGAAGTTTAGAGACAAGAGAAATTGAAACATTAACCTCTCTACATATCTAGGACTCTTGGAAGGACTGGTAGACTTTAGACCGAAGGTGAGTATGACTGCAAGCTTTGCAAGTGGGGTGGGGAGAAGAAAGAGTCACAAGGACAAGGTTTTAGTGTATGTGGGCCAACACTTGAAAAGGGACTTGATGAAAACAAAAAGTATGTAGTTCTCAGAGTTATAAAACTTCTGAACATGACCAATATGATGGATAATGCTCATTTTGCAGATGAATATAGGCAGGAATGATAAATTTTTAGGAAAGTAGCATGAGAAAAAAACAGGGTTTGGAACACTAGTCTAACAATAATTATTTAATGACACAGAAGAAAGGGTTGGGAGATTCATCATGAGACATGGGAAGATATCTTTTTAGTTGATCTGAGTATAGTAACTTTTTTCTGAAAGACAGCTTTTCTAGGCCATATTTTAGATATTTTAATGCATCTTTTTGCCTATCAAAGGTGCATGTGAGTTGGGTCAAGAACATGGGGACTTAGCCTTAAAAGAACAAGAAATTGAGCACAACGTCAGATCTTTTAAAAGATACAATGGCGGGCCGGCCAAGTGGCGCGAT